GCCGAGGTAAGGGAGTGGAGGGTAGGTGAGGGAGGCCGAGGGGGGGCGCCGGCGAGACGCCGGCCGCTCTCAAGTGTCCCCGCGACGGGCCACCTCTCCCCGCCCCCGCAGGCCGATCTCCTGGCTGCAGCCACCGCTGGGGGCCCCCGGGGGCGAGAGCCGCGACCACGCCACGGACCTAGACGTCGTCGCGCATGCGTAAACCCGTTGGCTGGGGTTCCGCTCTGGGATCTGGGGCTACACCCCAGCCTAGGCCGCGGGCCGCGGCTATGCTGCGCAGGCGCACTTCCGCCGGCGGGGCCCGGACGCGCTGTTTTCTAGGGTTGCGCCCCTGCCCGGGCCCCGGCCGAGTCTGCGCTGCGCATGCGCGAGTCCTCTCGTGGGGGTCGCGCTTGGCGTCGCCCCGGGCTTATTGTCTGCGCACGCGGGGGGTGGGGGTGTGTTTCTCGTCCCGGGGGAGGCTCCAGCCCTTGAGTTTCGCCTTCCCTCCCCATCCTCTGCTCAGCATAGGCTGCTGATGTTTTCATTTCTGTGCCCCCGGGCCTTGGCTTCTGTCCCGTGAATCTAGTCCCCCAGTTCTGGGCCCTGGACCGGCTTGCTAACTGAATGACAGGATATGCTTTCTACATTTGATCCTGATGTCCAGGGACAGCACGAAAGTTTGACTTTGCTAGGCGAGCTGCTGTGGAATGATGGGGAGAAATCGCTGTACGTCTTAAGCCGGAAGATGTTGCTGTGCTCAGCCCCGGAAATAGAGGTTTTCAGACGTTGAAAACTTTCCAAGTGCTCCTCCTTGGCCGAGCAAGAATTGAGTTGGAAGGCGAGTTCAGAACGAACCTTTTGTTTTTGTTCTTTGCAGAATTGCATAAAATGTTACAACAGCTCGAGCCTGGGACTGTAACAAAATGCAGGTCATAGAGCTGCCTTGTACAGTGCTTGGCAACTTCATCTTTTTCAGAGCTGAATAAAAGTGGTCGAGTTCACAAACAGTGCTTTGGAACACTGCTTTCCCCCCACCCTCGAAAATGACAGTCATTATTTAATGTTTATTGAGCCTCCTGGCTTTGCACCTTTCTAGTACCAAATTTCTGCTTGGCTTTACACCTTACTGGACAATGGTTCTTAGTTAGTCTGTTTCTTGATCCCTGGGGCTACTATGGAAAGTTTCTCACAATGTCATTACTGTGAGCTTTGCAATCTTATAGGATGTGCTGATACAGGCATTTGGGGGCTGGAATAGAAGAACCACTTAGGCTCCGAGAATCTGAGTACACTAGGTGAAATGTAATCTTTTTATTTCCTACAGCACTAGGCAGTGTATGCATGTCATTAAAGTAGCAGGTAAAGGCAACAGGAATGATATGTTATTGCATGCCCCACTCCCTCCATGCAGGCCTTAGTATTGTTGCTGAGCACACCAAGCAGACCCTCACCTCAGGGCCGGTGCATTTGTTGTTGCCTTTAAGTTCACTTTCCCACTCCACTCAAATCTGCACTGCACAGGCATTCCTTCAAGTTCTGAAAAAGTTTACACCATTTCTGAGAGGTGACTACCCTACTAAAGTAGCCGCTGTTTTGGCTTTCCGACCTCTTGTCTGCTCTTCTGGTTTTGTAGCATTTAATCACTATCTGATGTTATGTATTTAGATAGGTATGATCTATCTACCCCTCCTCAGAAAGTATTTGTTAACTGCATAAAGTAAAATTGGAATCTAACTCCAGATGAATCTTGAATTCAGCATGGATTCTTTCCATTTATTCAATATTTATTTTTTATCGGGTCCTGTCCTTGGTGCTTGAGGTGTATCAATGAACAAAAGTGGCAAAGATCCTTCCCTCTGGAGCTTACATTCTAGCAAAGAATACTAAACAAAGCCATATTTGATTATTATGTTAGAAAATTATAAATACTATAAAAAAATGAAAAAAGAACAAATGGGATTGGAGTGCAGGTGTGGATTGGAGGTTTAAACAACATGGTAATGGTGAATTTGAAGATGGAGAACTGGGAAGTGTCCTGGGAAAAATTGTTTATCATGCTTTAATGTCTTTCATGGGGGCCCATAGCATGATCACTGTAACAAATGTCACCATTATAGGATATGGTGAAAATAGAGTTCAAATTATTCAGGATTTTATGGTTTACCTTGGTACATCACATGAAGAGACTAGACTCTCATGGAAGACACTAGCAAAACTACTACTGTGTATTGTGCTGAGAGAAAGTATATATTGTCTCCATAGTTTAGTGCATTTTACAATTGCCTCTTAACGTCCCTCTGACTGTGGATGACTAGTGAAGATCTTTTCTAAGAGTGGACATTAGTTTTCTTTATTTGAAACTGTGCAGAAGAGGAGCTTAAATAATTTGGCATGATGTCATGCTATAGGGTATTAAATTATCTCTCTTAGAGATTTCTGAATGCACCAGACACACCTAACCAAATTTCAGTCCATCATTAAAGGAGGCTTAGAGAAAGAGGCTGATGGAGAGGAATGACACTAGAAAGTAATATGTGTTTCCCCTCATGTCCTTAAGTAGGTTACCAATATTCTGTTCTAACATCAAAAAAACTATTAATCTAGGTCTATAAATGTAGGGAATCCTTGTAATTGCTTATGCCCTAGAAGACTGTCATATTCAAGTTTGTTTTTATCAGTTGGCTAAAATGAATGTTAAATGCTCCATAGATACTGCTACTATTGAGGTTTACTTGGATTTCAATGACTACAAATCAAAATTGTTCAGGAAAATGAGATTTGAGACCAGACACAGAATTCCAGGAATAGAATTATCAGGATTGCAGAATGACATTAAAGATTCCTGTTAAAGACTAAAAATAGAGGTCCACATAATGATATTTACTTCAGGGGAGCAGATAGCTTGATCTCTGTAAAGGATATTCATAATGTCCATCGGTGGAAGACTGAGATGCTCCTTCTAGCTTTCATCATCTGGAGGAAACATGTGTCCAGGTGACATGGTGACCTCATTCTAACAACCTGAAAGTTTCCAGGAAATTTAAGCCATAATAGTGTTTCAGCATTAATCTAACTTTGGAGTATGTGTCTTTTATGTCTTCAGCCTTATGAATTTACCTGAGCTAATATTTATTATGTATAACTCCCCATGGATGACATTTTGATCTAACAAATATCAGTGGATGATAGTATGTGAATAAATCATAAGTTGTGACTACTTTATAATATATTCTCCATTATACTGGACGTGTATAATACCGAACAAAACGAATCCCAAGTGGAAATGAACCAAGGCCAAAGGGGCCTACCATGTTGAAGTAATATTTATGCTGTAGGCAGAGATTTTTAACAAATTAGGATTCTTTTTAACAGGCATGTTAATATTTTTTTAAAAATTTGATTAGATGTAGTAAGGACCTAAATTTCAAGTGGATTTACAAATGAGTCTCAAGTCCCAACTCATGCTAGTTAATGTAACAACTTAAACATATTGTATAGTTTATGCTGATTATTTTTGATATTTGAAAGTGACACTTGCTGTGTGACTAAAAAGACTAAAGTTGACATGCTCAGTAATCTCTTTAATTGTGTACAGCTTTATTTTGTTCTGAGGGTTTGACTCATCATTCTTGGTAAAATTTGGAAACCTTTTTACAAACAAAAGATTAAAATAGCAACTGTGTTTCTATGTTCTACACATCAATTTGCTGTTTTTCATCAACTTGTGGCTTTACCATTTCCTTTGAGTTTGTATTCTAGTTTTAGTTGTGCTGTTTGTTTTTTAGTTTAGTCCATCCTGTTTACAATTGTCCCACGTCATTTAACAGCTGTATAGGTATTTTATTGTTATTTGTTGTTAATTTGAGACATCTTGTTCAAGTTGGAGCTGACATTACAGCTAATGTTATCCTTGTTTAAAAGTGACAATTGAAGCCGGCTTGGTGGCTCAGCCTGTAATCCCACGCCTTTGGGAGGCCGAGGTGAGTGGATTGCCTGAGCCCGTGGGTTCAAGACCCACCTGGGAAACTTGGCAAGACCTCATCTCTACAATAAATCAAAAAGTCAGCCGGGCGTGGTAGTGCATCCCCTTAGTTCCAGCTACTTGGAAGGCTGAGGCGGAAGGATCACCGGAGCCCAGCAGGTCGAGGCTGCGGTGGCCAGGAGCGGACACTGCACTCCATTCTG